TATGACGTTTTAAAGACAGTATTTGTGGGCAGTATTGTAGTTGAAGGTTGCCGTGCGAGAATATAATTTTGTTTGGTATTCCATATTCTTGTTTTATATTCTTTTTTTTGAAGGCCGATTGATGGTGACATCAAGTAGTTTGCATGTCAGTTATCGTTGTGTCATGAATCAATCAAATCAAATAATTGATGGTTTTAGCTACATATTGATAATAAATAAACAGTCTACCATTGATGGCTGTCATGCAGCAAAGCAATCTTTAGAAGACAGAATGCGGTTCTTAGTTGTTAATCATTTCAATAAATCAAGTTTAGACGATTGAGGGCGCTGCAGCAAATCCAGAGTCTATCAAGCATCTCAAAAGGTGGAGCTGTTCATCCTAGGGTTATTAATTGTTTTAGGTGTGTCCTACTCGCAGCATCACGGGACATTGAGCGGGTGCTTTTCCGACGAGTAGATAGTAAAAATGAAGCTGTTCATCCTAGGGTTATTAATTGTTTTAGGTGTGTCCTACTCGCAGCATCACGGGACATTGAGCGGATGCTTTTCCGACGAGTAGATAGTACATCACTCATACCATACCCTACCCGGGGTCATATCGACCATCGTTATGATCACAAGACTCACCATTAGAGTTCATAACCTTCTCAAACACTGTGTAGTAATAAGTTCAGTAATTCGTATGATGCAAAGACTTCACTGATATAGCGGGAACCGTTAACAATAGCCTGGATGAGAGTTGGCTCGTCAACATTTTCTGTGATCATAATGTTGTAGAACTCGGATGTTGTGGCTGCCATCGTAATATAACTATAGGAAAAAGATGCTAGACATTGTACACACATATTTTAATCTACGGATGTGAACACGAAACATACGTCTTAGAATTAGGTCTGAAAGTTTCACCCACTGTTTATCCTGCTTGATTTATGAGCCAAGTTTGTATGATGGCTATACAAACGCAAAATATTTTGTTGTTCTTACAACTGTTAATGATCAACCGGGAACGAGTAACCAAACCGAAAATCATGACAATCCCCCCCCCCAAATATTGCGATAACCGTGACAGAAGTCGTCCACGGATAGACAGGCGGCCTACACTGTAGACGTGATTTAAATACACGCAGAAGTCGTCCGCGGATAGACAGGTGGCCTACACTGTAAACATGATTTAAATACACGCAGAAGTCGTCCACGGATAGACAGACGGCCTACACTGTAGACGTGATTTAAATACACGCAGAAGTCGTCCACGGATAGAAAGACGGCCTACACTGTAGACGTGATTTAAATACACGCAGAAGTCGTCCACGGATAGACAGACGGCCTACACTGTAGACGTGATTTAAATACACGCAGAAGTCGTCCACGGATAGAAAGACGGCCTACACTGTAGACGTGATTTAAATACACGCAGAAGTCGTCCACGGATAGACAGACGGCCTACACTGTAGACGTGATTTAAATACACGCAGAAGTCGTCCCGGATAGACAGGGGCCTACACTGTAGACGTGATTTAAATACACGCAGAAGTCGTCCACGGATAGACAGACGGTCTACACTGTAGACGTGATTTAAATACACGCAGAAATCGTCCACGGATAGACAGACGGCCTACACTGTAGACGTTATTTAAATACACGCAGAAGTCGTCCGCGGATAGACAGGTGGCCTACACCGTAGACGTGATTTAAATA